TATATATATATATATATATATATATATATATATTAAATAATAATTGATTGTTGTTGAAAAGTGTACAATACTCCAATATTTATAGGCAAATTATCTCCTATTCCTAGTAGTATTAGGAAATTGAAATAAGGAAACTAGAAAACTAATAAAATTTTAATCTAATTAAAACTCCTATTCTACTCAATAAAGAAACTATAGTCCTAATTAAATAAAATATAAAAATCCTATTACAAGAAAACTGAATAGAAAATAAACTTCTAAAAAAAAATAAAACATAGTAGTAGGAATAGTAGGAAATTATTAATTGTAGTAGGAATGTACTACATCATTCATTCACAAGTTTGCCAGATACACTAGCATGCTCTAAATGGATTAGAGCTGCTTCCCATATTTTTGAACAAATTAGCGTAAATCAATGGTTCTGGTACCCTGTGAATTAGAAAGATCAGGCACATGTTGCAAGCTTTATAGTGACATTGCACGTTATAGCTGCCATGTAAACACAACAAGAGAAGATTAACAAGAGAAGATTAACAGATGCAAGTAGTGCTGCTTGTTTTGGGTTTTAACTTCCAACTTGGATGTTGCCAGATGTCAACCCCAGTTTCTGTGTTCTGTTCTTTCCGTCCTCCATCACTTTGCGAAGAGTGTTGAGTTGGGGCCTGCACCAGAGACACTTGAAAGTATGAGACTTGAGATATAACGTATGTTTGTTGAGGCTTCTCCATTCCCATTTTCCAAGGACTACGAGCTACTCTGGTTATGCAGTTCTATAAGAGTTAATAGTGATACATATTTGACAATATTTTGGTGCTTTGGGTCACAGATTTGATCCATTAATTTAACAACATTAGTGGATTAAAATAGATCCATATGCATTATAATAATATCAATTCTTATTTTTATTTTGAATATACATTCAACCATGAAGGGGAAGATCAACTCATTAATCTCTATAGAGTTACACAGTGGTAGTGGAAAGGGGTGGCAATGTGCTAATTTTTAGTGGGTAATGGACCGTCAAAGGTAAGTGATACGGAGAGGCTGAGGGAATTTTCCTACATTCATTTTCCATTTTTTTTTTTGTAATTCCAATATTATTTGTTTTATATGTTCTTCTCTGTCTTTGCATTGCTGCTTTCATATTTTATCTAAACCATGAAGACAGTTGAAATGTCATATTCAAATGCTTCATAATTTTGGTCCAGCAACTTAATTGACTTGTAAGTTCAGTGCTGACATCTTTTAATTCTCGGTATAGGATCTTGAAAGAGCTATATTTACAATGAATGAGAAAACAATTCAAGGACCTAATGGAGGTCCATTGGTTAAACTCCAGGTAATTAGAATTGCAGCGGAAACTAATACGAGAAATCTAATCTTGTATTAAAAATATTACATCTGATATTATTTTCTGCAAACAGGTTGAAGTTGCAAGGCCTACTGGCAGAAACAAGAAACGAGCTCATGAGGATTCACACAGCAGTCCTGCTATGGTTCAGGGTCATTCCAAACTTTTAAAGGAGGAAATAAGCGCCAGTCCATCCATTAATCATAAGTTCAATGTCCAGAAGGTGAAGCACTCTCTTAATGTTATTTGTTTCATTCACTGGTTTCTTAATTTTTTTTTTGTATTTTTCAACCTGGGAAGAACAGTATAGCTATGAATATTTTTCAACTAAAACACAATTATCGAGACTTTAATATGTTAAAATTAGTAGGTGTAGTCTGTAAAACCTGTAATAAATTTGTATTGAAAATGTTGCATTGCCTGCAGTTGAGCTTCAGTTATTGTGCCTGTATTACTATTATGCATAGTTCTTGTGCTAGATCGTGTCCTGCTATGTATTTTGTTATGAGTTGTCTCCTTTGTGGTTCAGATTTTCATTCACTTGTTGAATAGAGTGCAAAGGAAATTTATATTGAGCTTTTCTTGTATCATCTCTCTCTTATAATTTGATCTAGCATTTTCTTTTCCACCAGGACTTGGAATATGCTGCTGATCCTTATGAGGCTGCTGTAGTCTCCTTACCTTTATCTATTAAAGAACGTTTACTCCGCATCCTACGTCTTGGAATTGCTACTCGTTTTGATGTAAGTTTTAGATTATCATTATAAAACAGTATGTGTGATAGTTAACTCCAACTCTTTGTTGAAGATGTATATTATTAGTGATAACTTTTTCACAATTACATTTGTGCTACCACCTTGGTGTTAGAGCCTTTATCCTTTCACCATGTCTATATGCATTGATGGTCTCTTTGCATCAATATCTTCCCTTTTAAAGATTTGGCATGTCATCTTGCAATTGGTGAAAATCCCTAAACCGATTTGTTTCTTCAGTTTCTTGATATACTTTGCGCATGTTAAGCAAGGCTTGTAATTGCTTAAGCTGATCAAACTCTATATTTATTCCATTTCGTAGTATTGTCAACTTTTACCTTCTCTAACACACTATTTATCCACACGTATTGTAGGATCCACAACTTACAATCTAATAAAAGCTTTGCCGAATATGTATTTGATGTAGTCCTCTCCCCTTGTTCATTTAAAAAACCAATGGATCTGGTATTCGTAGATGAAGACCGTTGCGTGTAGCAGCCTTCTTATTTTTTGCATCATGCTTACTGGTGTAAATCACCAGAACTTAAACGTGATGATGTATTGTATTTATCTCTTCTAAACACTATTCTCTGAAATTTCAATTATTTGGTGTTGTTTGTTGACAGATAGACATACAACATCTGAGCAGTCTCAAGCAAATACCTGAATCTGCAGCTATATCAGTCCTTGACCAGGTTTCAGAGAAATCTTATTTACGCTTTTCCTGGATACTGATTTAATTGATTGACACTTTTTCCTGTCTCCCCCACAGCCTGCACCACTTTCATCTAGAACTTACCCAAGAGTTGGAGTGAATTTAAGTTCTGGCATTACAGCTGAAACTAATCACCAAGCAGCTCGTCCTCAAGTTAGGTTTGATCCCTTTACAGGCGAGCCTTACAAATTCGATCCGTTCACTGGTGAACCTATTAGTCAAGAGGCTCTACGCCGACCCCCCTTCTAAAAACTGTTTTAATTCTCTGTATTCAAATGCTTTTTTTGTTCTTTGCATCGAGATGCAATAGCAATACTGAGTTAACATTACAGTGTTGTATGTTAAATACTTTTGTTGGGCAAATTATGCCATTGGTATTTATTGTGAGATTACCGTTTTGCCTTGTCCTGTACCCCTTCACGTTTCTGCTCGTCACTGGACAACCTTTTTCTAAGTAACATGAGCAGACATATTAGGCAGAGGAATTCTAATGTTCATATATATGCTAGTGATCAATGTGCAGAACGATCTACATACCCCAAACTGATTTGTTTATTATGCAAGATGCCTTTTTGGAATCCTTTCGACCCACGGACACACCCCGTCTCCCTCGAAGGGCTACTGAACCTAGGCTCCACAGGTAATCTTATCTTCTACTAGTAATCTGATTATTCTTGTAGGGAACTATAATGAATGGATAATTGTGTAGAGGAAGGATAATCAATGGATAATTGTACGGATAATCAGTTGGATGCAGGTAATTAGAATATGGAGTATTTTTCATGTCTCACATGCAAAGGTACAATCCTTTTTTGCATGTGATGTTCCATGTGCAATCTTTCCTTTAATTTGTTCTCCTCTTTCTTGCATTTCAGGGCTTTAAGTTTGTTGCCCATACTACATTCACGTGTGCCCTTTTGGGAGGCCAAATCCATCCCACACCCCGCTAGTCGGAAGCACCCTTTATAACGAGTGAAATGACTAGAATGCCCTTCGGTTCTTTTAAATGATTGAACTTTTTTCTTTTTTAACCTTTTTGATCGTCGTGGTTCTTAGCTTGAACTGATTGTCTCGAAATTATTTTTGTCACTCATTTTCAATCACATTTTGTGCTTAACTGTCAAGTCTTGTTTCGTTCATAAAGAATGCTTGTCAATATCGACTAGTATAGAAAAATGCTTTGTACCAGTCAAGATAAAAAATAATTTTTTATCCAAATTCGAGAAATCCAATATTAATACGTAAATCTACTACAAAATACACTAGTATTTTAACATAGAATACCTTCCAATAAATTATTTAAGTTTAATATTAACTATTATGATATCGATAAATAAAATTTCAATCATATTTGAATAATGGTGTGTATATATATATAGGAATGATCTTCTAAATATCGATGTTTAGCTTATGTTAAGCATTGGTGACATGGATTGGTGAATCATTAAATACATGAGATTCATCATTAATTTATTTACCAATTAAATGATATGACATGTCATCGATGCTTAGGAGATCATTTTCGTATGTATATATATATATATATTTCATCAAATTCAATCATATATCCAAAATGGCATTGTTGTAATTTCTTTACAAACAAGTGGCATTATTTCATTAATTAAATATGAATTTTGCTACTTATACATAAAAATAATACATAACGGGGAAAAGAATGGATAAAGAAAAAAAAAAGAAAAAAAGAAGTTGATTGTGGTTTAACTTTTAAATTAACAAATGATAAAATGACATGTGATATTATGTAACTTGAAAAGCTTAATGTACATATAGCAAGTATCAATTATTTATACCCCCATATCACATCCCCCAGTATACCGTCATCTCCCGGACTCACTTTCACCACCATTCGCTGTTACTCGGCCACCTCAAATGGGTCGGCAGATAAAGAACTCCATAAATGTTAGAATTTTGGGGCAATCTGAATTATGTTGTTAAAATAATTGTAAAATTCTAATTGAAATGCACATCAAGAGGAATTTTAGTTGGAATGCTTTGAGGAATCCTTCAGGTTTAATTGTCAAATTCTATTTACAGTTCTATTTTGAAATTCATTGGGAGTTGGAATTTGAGTTGGACTTGAAAAGTTCAAATAAGGAAACTTTTAGACGTTTTATTTTATCTACAACTCTACTTCTAGGGATGATATTTTTCCTATAAATATGAGGCTTCTCTGTTAGTATTGTGAGAAGCAATTTTGCTAAGTTGTACTTGTTTTCTCCATATTGTTCAGTAATAAATATCATTCCTCTGCGATTAGCCCTTTTTGTTTTTCTTTACTTTAAATCTTGTTTTCGTGGTGTGATTTTGTTTACTTCAATATTGTCATTAAATATCATTCTTTACAATATGATTTGGGATCAACGAGTGGTATCGGTGTTTTTGTGCCCAACAAGTGATATCTAAGCTTGGTTCCTTTCACAAATTGGTTGAGATTTTTTCGGGATAGCTGGGTTAGAGTATGATTTTCCGCAATTAGATCGCAACACAAGGTTTTTTTTTTTTTTTTTGTGACAAGTAATAAGGAGGGTTATTCTGGCACAGTTGGATTTGGACGATGCGTTGCTAGGTTTGAGAAGAGACCAGCTGATTGGACAACGGAGGAGAAACAACGAAAGGATCGGAAAGCTGTGTCGTTGATTCATTTTCATTTATCCAACAATATTCTGCGGGATGTCTTGAAGGAGAAGACGACGACTGCTTTGTAGTTGAGACTAGAGCAGTTATGTATGACTAAGAGTCTTATCAGTAAACTGGCTCTTAAGCAGAAGCTGTATTCCAATAGCATGGCAGAAGGTGGATCGTTGGAAGATCACATTGATTTGTTCAAAGAAATAATTGCAGATTTGGAAACATTGAAGGTTAAGTACGATGAAGAGGATCTTATTTTGATCCTGTTGTGTTCGCTGCTTGATTTTTATGCTTCGTTTCGGGACACCATCTTGTATAGCCGAGATACTTTGACTATAGACGATGTCTATGATGCTTTGCAATCAAAAGAGAAGGGATGAGAAAGCTCCTGTATCTCAAAGTGGTTGATGGAGAGGCAGATCGAAAGTCAACTTTAGCAATGTATATTGTTACTACTGCAAACGGAAGGGACATATTCAGAAGGATTATGATATGCTGCAGGCTAGAGGTAATTCAGCTACAAATCATGGAGTGTAACCTTTGACTTCAGACGAAACCAATGTAGTTGAGAATTTTTTAGATGGCGGAGATGTGATGTTGACCATGGTTTCTGATGTGGAACCTAAGTTTGACGAGGAGTGGATTTTTTATTCGGCATATTCACACCCTATGTGTTCTGATAAGAATTTATTTCAAACATATGAGGCAGTTCAGCAAGATGGAGTTGTAATGAGAAAAAATCAGTCTTGCCGTATTGTTGGAATCGATCGAGTTAGATTACAGTTACAGGATGGGACAATCAGAACACTTGGCCAAGTTTGACATGTTCCAGATCTGAAGAGGAATCTAATCTC